ACTTAAGGTTTCACACTGCCTGGATTAGGGTAACTGCCAAAAAGCGGCCAATAAAAAGGGTAAAGAGGCAATTTTACCCTGATACTTTGGGCCCTGAGCGCACATGGGCGGAAAGTGAGGAGGATACTGAGGAGGCATCTCGCCCACGAGGGGGGGGGGGCGGGAGGGGGGAGGGGGGGGGGGGGGGGGGGGGGGGGGGGGGTGCAGCTGGTAGGACGGGGGTCAAACTGCGAGTGCGAGTAGGCATGAAAAAAAAAAACCGAAACGAACCGCTTCGGTGATTATATAGTTATATCCGAATCAGTTGAAGTTCTGAGTTCGCCCTTCCTCATCCTTATTCCTAGGTATGGCGGAATGATGCGGGGATATGTCTGAACGGCCTTAAATACGGTGTGCAAACATGTTTGAGTCGAACCGAGCAGGGGTTTGGGTTTGCACTCCCTTGTATTGTCCTACTAACACATGAAATAGATTCCTTTATACCAATCTACCCGACTGATATGGTGAGGTTGCACGTGTACTTCTATCGAATCAAATGGTCTGTGGGACTTACAAGAGAGTGAGTTGAGCGAGAGCACTAACACTAGAAGGGATGCTGCCTGAAAGCTGGTTCTTCGAAAGGTCCCTGGGATAAAAAATATAAGTAGAAGAGGCATAGCAAACTAGTGCTCAAATGTTGACTTGTAATAACTAGGGCTTGGACATGAGCAAACAACCAGATCGAACCGGTTTGGTTATTTCACTTTGTTCATTGAACTGGGGCGAACCAAACTGGTTCAAAAGGATCCTGCCAAAGATCTGGCCGAACCAGTCAAATCGTTCGGTCGAACCTAGACATGAGCATCGGGTGAACACCAAACATGTTCGCCCAAACATTCCCGAACATATCAATTTGGCGAACTGAACATGTTCGGTTCGCCCGAACACTGTAACAGAAATTCAGTGTTCGGTGTTCGCCCTTGTGGTGGCGAACATGTAAAAGGTTCGCGAACCTTTACGTGTTCGGGTGAACCGAACATGTTCGGGTTTGAATATGATTTATCCCTCACTATAGTCACATTCAGGGCAGGTGTAAATTTCACTGGTTTCAGCTAATAAGTACAGCAGTCGCCATGATACCCTAAACACTAGCGTGCTCCTTCCTTATTAGAGGCTATAGACCCGGGCTGGACCCTGCTCGTTCTCGGATGAAACACTAACCCGGCTTCCTTAAAGCTGTAAGCTACTAGGGAAACCCAAAAAACGGACTTATAAGGCTAAATCTCCCTAAGTAATGGTTAACATGGGTTTTTAACGCTTAGTTATGAAGCAGCAACAACCCATTGATGTGTCTTGACCTAAAAATGGCGATCGAGCTCGAAATGAGCCCAATCTGAAGTTTCCGCTGCCTTCTTATCCAACCAGCGCGGCAATTGTCGAGCTGAAATTTCCGCGAACATGAAATGTTCGCATAAGAGGGAAAAAATCCCGAACATGTTCGATGTTCGGGAATTTCTCCAACAAATGCTGCGAACACCGAACAAGTTCGGGCCGAACATCGAACATGTTCGGCCGAACTATTTGGGCAAAAAAAAAAAAAAACTGTTCGGTTCGGCCTGAACATGTTCTGGCGAAGCGAACAGGCGTTCGCCAAATTGCTCATGGCTAGTCGAACCTATTTTGGTTCGGCTCGAACTAGTTCGGTTCGATTTGACATTCAGCATGATAGAATTGGAGCTGAACTGATTGATTAGTAAGAAAGGCACTAGGCCTTAAGTACAAACAAGGTTGTGTTGAGCAAAGCTAGGGAAAGGATGGGATGGGAATCCTAGGCAAATCTCCAATGGTGAGTTGGCAGATTTGCTGGATTACGAGGGAATCCCAACCAGATAGGGTTGGGATTACAATCTACACCCAACCTACAAATAACCTACAAGATATAGAATATAGTACACAAAGTGTTGACAGCCTATTTCAGACACAGCATTCATTTTTAGTCACTGTTAATACATGGTTGCCTTTATACATAATTCAATTATACATGGTTATAATAGTCACGAACCGCGTCCAGTTCACGCGAACAAGTTGGGAAAGATGAGGCAAGTACTACTTGCCTCGCCTTTGGCCCATGTCAACCAAGCGAGTTTGAGGTTTCAGGCGAACCGGTTCTGGTTCGCTCTATATCCAAATGCAATGTAAGGCAAGATGAACTAGATCTGTCGATTTGCATGCAAGATGCAGACCATCAGGAGCGTATCCCCCCTCCCCTTCCCCCCCACTCCTCCCAACTGGGTTCTAAAGATAACTAAGTCGACTATAACAAAATTGATTCGAGCCGAACTCGAACCGGCCAAGGTCGAGCCTCAAAAGGTTCGGGCGAACATTTTTTGGCCCGGGAACATATGGCCGAACATGACTGTGGATTTGCTCGGCCGCCCCGGTATTTTGGGCAGCCCGGCCAGGTTCAAGGCCGAACCAGGTTCGGCCCGTGCTCGTGCCTACTTGTGAGTCGTGATTGTATGCTTGGTTACTCTGTTTGCCATATCTAGGATGTAAAATTTGTGTGGCAGCAGGCCCCAGGACACTTGTTGTTACAGTACCAGCCCGGGGAAAGTGACCCGGTCTAAACTCAAACCGGCCCGGGTCGGTCCGAGAAGGTTTGGTCGAACCTTTTTCGGCCTGGGGTACTCATGGCTGAACCCGGGCCAAGGGACTACTCGGCCAGCCCGGGTCGGGTTGAACCAGTCGCCCGGTTGTTTTGCCAGCCCGGCCTGGTTCAACCCTATGTTGGCAGATACGTGTTTTTTGCTTGATACGCTTGCATATAATACGCACGTGTAAATACGCTATCCGCTAGATGTCCCGTCTGAAAAAAACCGCCAAAATACGTTGTTTCGGGCAGGGAATATAAGTTTCCGGGCAGGGGGTGAGAAACTATGTTCAGGGGGTGGGGGGGCGTGAGGACCCTTCCCCATAACTTATTCATTAATAACCAGAGATACAAAACTCCTACAATTTCTGCACATACACCCCTACCACCCTTCTCAACCCTCCCACCCACCCACTACCTAACTATTTTCCCACCACCTCCCTTTCCATACGAAGCATACTCGTCCGCCGGTTCATCATCCTCCCCCTTCTGCCCCTTTTCCACCACCATCCCTTCGTCCGCCATGTCGTCCTCCTCCTCCACCATCCTGTACCCTTCCGGGAAAGGGGCAGTCGAGATGTTTCCGGTGACAACCAAACTGCCCTCTTCCTTGTTGTGCCAGTTGCGCAAAATGTTCCAGTTGTGCGCAACGTACACAAGGTCCGCACACTTGGCGGACCCAAGCCGGTTGCGGCGGGCGGTGTGGACGCCTTCCCGCACCGCCCAGTTACACTCACAGAAGGACGTGGACACCGGCTGAGTGAGCAACCAGCATGCAAGGGTTGCAAGCTCGGGGTAGTCGCTGCTGTACCACGACCACTACTGGACCATGCTCTGCTCTCCCGCCCACACTGCCTCCCATGCTGCAATGGCCGACTGCCTCCCAAAACTCCCCTCCAGGTTCATGTAGGCCATCAATCCCTCCTGCAGTACAAGGGAGGCCCGCCGAGGGACGCCATCATTGCCCCTCGTCAAGGTGCGGTGCTCGTAGTGGCGTTCGATGTAGTCCTTAAACACGCAGGTGCACTCGACGTCCGTCCTGAAAATCCCTTCCACTTGGTTGACCGGGTTCAAAATCCGGCCAACGACGTGCATGGGGCAGGCAAGGGAGTTATCCCAACGATCCTTGACGATCTTAATTATCTCCCCCTTCTCTGCCCGAGTGAGAATGCCCCCGGCCTCATCCAGCTTATCGTTCACATCCGGTAAGTTGCAGCATAATGTCATACATTTTTGCCATCATGCCTTTAGCCAAGGAGTCTGTGGCCCGCATGGCAAAGAAGGGCAGCCGCATCAGCTGGACGAAAAAGTCAGCCACCTTCCACTATTCTTTGTCCATCACATGTTTCCGAATAATGTCTGCCAATGTCCCTGTGCCCCCTGCTGCTAGGCTTGAGCAGAAGGACGAACACCTGTTCGGTTCGCCTTTTGGACAAAAGAGTTCGGGTCGAACATGTTCGTATTCGCCCGAACAGGTTCGTGTTCGGTTCGTCGCAGCTGGCCAAGCCGCGTCGAACACGAACATGTTCGTGTTCGTTTTCCAGCAAAGGCGAGCACAAATGTGTTCGTCGCGAATGTCCTGTGATCGAAGGCGCCAAGGGCCATTTTCGCCGTCAGATCGGCGCGGATCTGTTATTTCGCCGTCAGATCTGCGTGGATTTTGCATTTCGCCGTCAGATCTGCGCGGATCTGGAACTTCACTGTCAGATCTGCACGGATCTGGCATTTCGCCGTTGGATCTGCGCGGATCTGGCATTTCGCCGTCAGATCTGTGCGGATCAGTTATTTCACCGTCAGATCTGCGCGGATCTGTCATTTTGCCGTCAGATCTGCACGGATCTGGCATTTCGCTGTCACATCTGCGCGGATCTGGCATTTCGCCGTCAGATCTGATGGCAGGAGGGTGGGGGGAGGAACGGGTGCCACGATTTGAGTTTTAGTGAAAACCAATGTCAATGTACAGCCCTGTAATTTTCACACGGGAATGCAGTGGGACTGGAACAAAATGAGCCTAAAAAACGAACACGAACATGCTTGGTTCGCCGAACATGGGTGTTCGACCACGGGCGAACACGAACATGTTCGTGTTCGCCCTTTGCTCAACCCTACCTGCTGCCACCGATTTTTGTCACTCCTTGCTCCGCACCTCACAGAGACGTGAAACAGCGATGTACTGCGTGCCGAATCGGGTTCCAGCCGGCTTCAACACTTTCTTTCCCTTTCCGCCATCAACTATCGGGCTCCTCGTGTAGTTGCGGGTGAAATGATGGTTACGCAAGAAGTTGATAAGCTCCCCCGCCCTCTCAACAACCCCTTTTGCCCATGCCAACTTCCCGACATCTTCCATTAACAGATCGAGCACGTGCATGGCTTACAGCACGTGCTCAATGTGAGGCCAACGGGTGATGACATTCTTGACTGCCGATGCATAGGTGCTGCCCCCATCGGTGCAGAGCGCCACCACGTTCTCAGGGCCCGTCTTATCTACAACGGGGCTGAGAATGCTTGCAATGAAGCCCCCCATTTTCGTCTCCATCTTGCAATCAACGGCCTCGGTGAAAACCGCCCCCGAGTCGTTGACGAGAAGAATGTTGGCTTGAGGGCGGCCGCACCGGTCAGTCATCATGTCCGACGCGATGGTGACGCCGTCCCGCTTCCAGCTTTCCGCAATCGGGACAAACGCACTCTCCACCGGCTTCCGACATTTCTGCAAGCCAACGCCTAAGATGTGGCGACGGTTGGGGGGTACGTAAGAGGGCTACGCGCGGGCAATGCAACGGACAGCATGCTTCCACAGCGGATGGTTGGCGATGTTCTCTGGAATCCGAGAAGCAGCGAACAAGATGCAGATCGCCTCGTCTGCCTCCTCCTTAGCGCATGAGACTTCGCTGCCGTAGATGTCTGTGATCTTCCCCTTTTTCGGCGCAGCACCACTGACGGCGTCGAGGGCGGACTCCATTGCGGCCTGATCCACCGCCCGCTTCAACTCCTTGGCCGATTTCTTATCCTCGTACATCAGCCGCACTGCCTCGCGAAGGGACTTGTGCGCATCGGGGCAAAGGTGCACATCCCTTTGGGCATACCCTTCCACGCCGTGAGGTGCTGCGCGCAGCGATTCGTTCCACCCTTGAACATGAATGAGCAAAACTTGCACAGCTTTGGTGTTCCAGTCAACCCGGGCTCCACGGGAATAAGAAAATGCTTGACGATGGGATGGGTGTGACCCGCTTCGACAACTTTCTTACTGTTGCCAGTAGAAAGTTCGACTGGCGTCCCAATGTTGGACCGAGGGAGTGGAGGTAGCCATTGCTTGCAACGACTACGGCTGAGGCTATGCTTGTCGAGAAGACATTGTGGAAGTGAAAGACTGAGAAGTGCGGGAATGAATGAAGATTGCAACATTTGAGGACATGTGGTGGATGGGGAGGATGGTTGGGCTTGGGAATGGATGGGGACGTTGGATTGGATGGGTGGAGTGTGGTTGTCTGTGGGGTACGGGTTGGAGTTTGAAATTTGAATTTCTGGATGGGGAGGTTGGATGGGTGGAGTGTGGTTGTGTGTGAGGTAGGGGTTCGAGTTTGAAATTCGAATTTCTGGATGGGGAGGTTGGATGGGTGGAGTGTGGTTGTGGGTGGGGTCGGGGTTGGAGATTGAAATTCGAATTTCAGATCTGTGCAAAGTTGCCAAATACGCTAGGGACACTTAGCGTTTAGCGGATATACGATGGCGTTTACACACTAAACGCTAAACACAAGCAAATACGCTAAACGCTCGCAAATATTTTTTTGGGGCAGCCCAACCAAACAAAATGTGAATATGCGGAAAGTTGCGGAATTGCACGACGAGCATTTTGCCGAAGTCCGTGATTTGTGCAAGCGAGGATGACCTGCTGGAGGACGAGTATGCATAATAATAGGTAGAGTAGGGGGGAAATGTGGAATGGCTTAGTCGTGGTGGTAGGAGAGTATTATATAGTCATGTGTGTAGGAGTGGTAATCTTATAATGGGGTAAACAAATACCGCAGAAACATAACACCCTAGTTTTTGCCCCTATGATAGCCCTGGCGGTTTTTTTTCCCTGCCCGAAAAAGCGTATGTCCAAATCGCCCGCTAAGCGGATAGCGTATATACACTAGCATATATACGATACGCGTATATACGCTATAAGCGTATTTGGCAACTTAGGATCTGTGTTAGTCTCGCGTGTTCTGCCAACTTAGGTTCAACCCGGGCTGAACCTCATCCCTACTTACAAGGCCACCAGGTTTGTCAGCAAGCCAATGTCAGTGGGGATGGAGTTGGTGAGCTGGTTGGTAGAGAGGGAACTGTCCAACACAAGGAGGCAAGTGACACATGGGGGGGGGGGGGGAGGTGGAAGGGTGGGGGGGAGATGTGCAATGAGATCAACAAACAGGTGAGAAAGTAGGCAGGACACTGGTAATGGCATGAGATTAGACATGAGCAGGAGGTGTCAAAGTCCAGCCGACCTGATTCGAATCTCACCAGCCTAATAGCCAAACCGATTACGTTCGAGGCAACCAAACACTTTTTTGCCAAACGTGGGTCTGTGCACGGAGGTGCGGGGACAAGGAATGAGGGGAAAGGTGGAGACGAAGGGGAAAGTGACGACATGGAAGAGGCGGCGGAGCAAATAAAGTGCCAGCAATCGTCGGAGGAGGACAACAGCGAACCGGGGTATGGCCCGGCAGTGGACACCATATCCACCAAATCCGATGCGGTGGTTTGTCTATAGGATGGCGGTAGGGTGTGTTATAACAGACAAATTTGTGAAACTGAACCGGTTTGGTTCAATGTCCTTAACAACTGAACGTCGAACCGGCCTTCTCCCAGGCCGGTTCGTTTCGAACCGATTCGTATATTATGAGTCATGACCCTCAACCCTAAACCGGTTCGGTTTGTTATTTTTCTCATGCCTACTCGCACTAGCAGTCTGACCCCCGTCACACCAGCTGCACCCCCCCCCCCCCCCCCCCCCCCCCCCCTCCCTCGTGGACGAGACGCCTCCTCAGCATCCTCCTCACACTCCGCCCAGTTGCGCTCCTCATCCTCTGCCTCCTCTTCCCGCTCAACCTGACAAGAGCATACTTACCTCGAATGCGCATGCACAGAAACTCCGTGGTAAATGTCCTAAAATCTGCCCTTGAAAACGCTTTAACCTTACTCTGAATCTCGAAGTATCATGATTCTGGAAGATCGACCATGGGAAACGTCCAAAAACAAGGCCGTACTAGCTAATCAGAGAGTTGGAGCTCGAAATAAGCTCCAACTCTCAGTCTTTTCCGACCTAGATCGTGTCGGAAAACACTCTTCCTTCTGGCACCTGCTCTTCTTCCTGTTGCCACCCTGCTTCTCTTCCTTGTATGCGCTGCTTTGCCTCATTCACTCCCATGAAGGAGCTTCCTCCGTCACCTCGCAGGTTCCCTCCTAGTGGCGTGCCACAGGATGCAAGATCTAGAGCGACAGCTTTTACTATTACGAGAGAATAACAGGAAACAAGCACCTACTGGGTGTTCGTGACTGAACTTACCTTGCCCAGGCTCAATCCACACATTTCACAATGTGCGCCTCGAGCTGGGGCTTGTTGGCTTCGGATAGGTTCACCACATTTCACCCTCTTGTGTCTTCCCTCGCATTCCCTAACGTCAATATCCGACTCCCCTAACGACCCACCCTCGGATCCTAATACAACATTTGCTACACTACAGTCTACACCTGCGCACCACTGTTAACGCATATGCACAGACTGCATATTCGGTAACAATCGCGGGTCGCACAGGTTGGCCGCGTCAAACGGGCGACAGTTCGTTTCGAACCGCTTCGGTTCGACGCGGCTCGGTGACTAATGCTCAAAGCATATATAGCTGGCAAAGCAGGAAAGTCCATGGAGCAGTTTGGCCAAATTATCCAAAGCCACGTAAACGTAATGTTACGTGTAACGTTACGTTCACATAGGATCAAAGGACGTACGGACCCATCTAAGCTTAAGGTGCCTTCAGACTCCAATATCAAATCAGTCTATTCAGCTCAAGTTCTTACCTACGGCTATTACACCTGCCTCTGAAAACGATTGGAAAGAGCACGCAGAAACAAATGTCTATAGTGGAAGTGTACAGTAGAACCTGAATTGAATTCGAACATGTTCAAGTCGAACATGCTTATGTTCACCTCGAACACTACGATGTTTGACTTTTATATAGTTGCGCATTGCAGATCCATTTCATTGCATGCAAAGAAGATGGACAAACTGGTGAGAAGGTGGGTAAGGCGGTGGTAGAGGCATGTGACAGTAACAGTTAGGGTTTGATCGATCTGAGGTAAATGAAGAAGTCAGGTTGAGCAAGATCGTTGGGAGCAACAACATTTCTAGGAGAGCACTGGGCCTCTTACAGATATGAAAGTGCTTTGAGCCTTGTGATCGAGGAGGGTAAGGATCCTGACAACATCTTGGAATAGAGACAGCTGTTTGTGGCATAGAAGGGAGAGACCTGTTGGTGGCAACGAGGGAAGAGAGCTGCTGGTCGCAAGTGGGGGGAAACCTAATATGCGTCATACATGAGCAACGAGCGAACCAAGCACGTTTGATTCGAACAGTTTTTGAACACTTGGTCAAGTCGAACCGAAGTCGAACAGTCAGACTCGAACATTTTTCGTAAAGGTTAGTGTTCGCTGTTCGAGTATAGGGTCGAACAGTCTTGAGGTAAGGCCGAACGCTTAGGTGTTTGACCCGAACTCGAACAGTTCGGGTTCGGGGGTACTTTCAGTACAGTCACATTCAAGGCATGTCAAACATTCAGGCTGCCCTTGCCGAAAGGAAACACCACGATGACCATAGCAAAATTTGTGGTTTTGTTATGACGTGGGGACACTATGGTGTCTTCCCACTATGAGATTGGTGGGTGCGAGCAGAGTTGCGATCCCGGGTCCAGTTACTACACCGTCCGGGCCAGGAGTGGCAGTGTCCTTTCCTTATCGCTACCCACCACCAAAGCACCCCGCTCGGTTCCATAGTGGACTAACACCATAGCGGAATCCGAGGTAAAGAGTTGTGTGAGTAATTTTGCTAACCCTAAACGATTGCAATAGCCCTACAGGGCGTGGCGCGTTTCTTGTTGGTCTTCAATTTCGCCTTCCTAAACTCTAATCGAAATGTCACTAATATCTATTTTTAAGAGTTTCCTATCCTACTTTAACCGTGCGAATGGGCTAGGTAACTAGGATAGGGGGCGGAATGCCTTCTGACCTACTTCTTTTAGATCCAACCAGCACGTCAAGATTTGACGCACTGGAAAAAAAAAAAAATCGAACCCAAAGTGTTCGCGGCGAACAGTCTGGGAACTCGAACACTTAGGTGTTCGAGTGATTTTGTGCTTGCGAACACTCGAACACTCGAACGTGTTCGGGGCGAACACTTAGGTGTTCATCCCGAACAGGCCTGTCGCTACAAGGGCATTTGCCCTTTTTACCCTTGAATTCAAGTGCTGGTTCGGGCCCAACTCAGAGAATTCAAGGGCTGGCTTTGAGGCCAGCCCGTTTTCCTTACGGGCTGGTTTAGCGCCTAACCCGGATTCCACGTATACGCTCAGAGCCCTCACCTACCACCTGCCCCCTCGTTTCCCTTGATATGTCTCCCCTGTTGCAAGGTAGATCGGCTTATAGATCTGCTATGTACCGCAGCCCTTTGAACATCATCTACTTTCACTATGTGTTTACGCTCAAGTGCTGAAGGATGTGTAGCCCTGAATCTAAGTGTTGAAATCTGACTCAACCCGGATAAATAAGGGCTGAATTGAGGGCACCTCAGCCCGCTAAGTTCTAGGCCCAGAGCAAGCGACAGCCCTGATCCCGAACTATTTTGGGCAAAAACAAGCCACTGATCGGTTTGATTCGAACGTGTTCGAGTCGAACCGAACAGGGGTTCGAATTTTTGCTCATGTCTAATATGCGTAGGTTGGGCTGACCACATTGGGAAGGGAAATCCACCCAACCAAAGTGGTT